CAACCCATTGTAGTACATGTATAACACACACCAACCCATTGTAGTACATGTATAACACACACACCAACACATTGTAGTACATGTATAACACACACCAACCCATTGTAGTACATGTATAACACACACCAACCCATTGTAGGACATGTATAACACACACAACAACCCATTGTAGGACATGTATAACACACACCAACCCATTTTAGTACATGTATAACACACACACCAACACATTGTAGGACATTTATAACACACACACCAACCCATTGTAGTACATGTATAACACACACACCAACCTATTGTAGTACATGTATAACACACACCAACCCATTGTAGTACATGTATAACACACACAAACCCACTGTAGTACATGTATAACACACACACCAACCCATTGTAGTACATGTATAACACACACACCAACCCATTGTAGTACATGTATAACACACACACCAACCCATTGTAGTACATGTATAACACACACCAACCCATTGTAGTACATGTATAACACACACAAACCCACTGTAGTACATGTATAACACACACACCAACCCATTGTAGTACATGTATAACACACACACCAACCCATTGTAGTACATGTATAACACACACACCAACCCATTGTAGTACATGTATAACACACACCAACCCATTGTAGTACATGTATACCAGACACAATGAGTACTTCAAAATACAATAGATTAATCATTAATTTTGCAATATTGTATCATTGTGACTTATTGAGACAAGAAGATATCTGTATATATTTCTCTGTGAACCTGTCAAATTTTGAAACACTGAAAGAATTGTGTTGATGGTAGATATTTGTTTTCATGTGTTTAATTCTACTACTTGTATAAGGAATTATATTTCTTACTTGTTATTCTTATTAGTTTTATTACATTTTTGCTCGTGATATACTGGAATTTATCAATGTAATAAAAACTGATGATAAAGGAAATGACAAGTGATGATATTGACCAATCAAAATGTAGCTTTCTAGTCACTTCATTGCAATTCAGTTTTCTTGTTTGGGGTACATACTTGAATAAATCAAGTGTCCATCAAATATTTGCTGTGTACATTTCATGTTTTTTTCTTATTTGGTATGTAAAACAGTTTTTCTACCAGGTAATAGCGTAAAATGTGGTGAACATATTCAAAATATTGTCATCTTGTTGTCTAGATATCCTATACTCTCTGACGTCATTTGATATGTTGATATTTCCCAATAAATATTTTACACTGTTTTATTGTGTCACCTGTAGAGCTGACAGACACTTAGGGATCACTTTGTCCGTCGTCAGGCGTCGGTGTCTTCGGGGGCTTCCCTACGAAAGTTTTCTGGACTTTTTTTGGTTATGCTTTGATTTATCAAATTGAAATACGGTATATGGCTTCTTGTTCGAAGGTTACAGATTAAGTTCAATTTCCGGCTGTCTGTGACACTTTTTGGCAGAGTAATGCCCCTTTGAACTTAGAAAATTCTCTTGGAATATTGTTTTCCGGACTTTTTAGGTCATCTGACCCGAAGGGTCCGATGACCTATAGTCATCATGCTTCGTCCGTCGTCGTGCGCCGTGCGCCGTCCGTAAACTTTTCATTCAAACGACTTCTTCTCAATAATTGGAAGGCCCAGGCAACTAATATTTGGCCTGTAGCTTGCTTTGATGAAGCCCTACCAAGTTTGTTAAAAAGAATGACCTTGACCTTCATTCAAGGTCACAGGGGTCAAATGTCTTAAAATCTTCAAACGACTTCTTCTCAATAACTGGAGGGCCCAGGCAACTAATATTTAGCCTGTAGCTTGCTTTGATGAAACCCTACCAAGTTTGTACAAATGAATGACCTTGACCTTCATTCAAGGTCACAGGGGTCAAATGTCTTTAAATCTTCAAAGGACTTCTTCTCAGTAATCAAAAGGCCCAGGCAACTAAAATAAGGCCTGTAGCATGCTGGGATGAAGGACTACCAAGTTTGTTCAAATGAATGACCTTGACCCACTTTAAAGGTCACAGGGGTCAAATATGTTAAAATCTTTAAACAACTTCTTCTCAATAACCAAAAGGCTCAGATTGCTGATATTGTGCCTGTGGCATGCTGGGATGAAGGGCTATCAAGTTTGTTTAAATGAATGACCTTGAACAACTTTCAAGGTCACAGGGGTCAAATATGTCAAAATCTTTAAATAACTTCTTCTCAAATACTAGAAGGCCTAGGGGGCTAATACTTGGCCCATAGCATGCTGGCATGGAGCCCTACAAAGTTTGTTCAAATGAATGACCTTGGCCCACTTTCAAGGTCACAGGGGTCAAATATGTTAAAATATACAAAGGACTTCATCTCAATAAGCAAAAGTCTATGAGTGCCGATATTGGGTCTGTAGCATGCTGGGAGGAAAGGCTACCAAGTTTATTGAAATGAATGACCTTGAACAACTTTCAAGGTCACAGGGGTCAAATATGTTAAAATATACAAAGGACTTCATCTCAATAAGCAAAAGTCTATGAGAGCCGATATTGGGTCTGTAGCATGCTGGGAGGAAAGGCTACCAAGTTTATTCAAATGAATGACCTCAACCCACTTTCAAGGTCACAGGGGTCAAATATGTTAAAATATACAAACGACTTCTTCTCAACAAGCAAAAGTCCATGAGTGCTGATATTGGGCCTGTAAGATGCTTGGAGGAGAGGCTACCAAGTTTGTTCAAATGAATGACCTCAACCCACTTTCTAGGTTTGGCTTGCTTTTTGTCAGATGACCGTTAAGGCCCATGGGCCTCTTGTTTGGGTTATCCTCTGAGTTATTGAAATGAAATTAAGTATATGGCTTTTTGTTGCAAGGGTACAGATTAAGTTCGATTTCCAGCTGTCTGTGACCCTTCTTGGCAGAGTAATGCCCCTTTGAACTTAGAAAATTCACTGGGAATATTATTTTCTGGACTTTCTTTGGTTATGCTTTGAGTTATAGAAATGAAATTTGGTATATGGCTTCTTGTTGGAAGGGTACAGATTAGTTTTGACATTCAGTTTGATTTCTGGGTGACCGTGACACTTTATGCAGGCTACACATACAGTTCCGAGAGACTCTTGTTTATGTTGATTTTTTTCCTCATTTGTTTTTCCATTGAAATGTAATGAAAAAAAATTCATTGCTTTCCTGTTGAATATCATATATATATATATCATGATAATGGCAGATTATTTATTCTGGCATACAAGAGAAATATACGCAATATTGAATGGAATATCATTACTCCTCTATGTCTGTATAGTAGGAAAGGTATAGATAGGACGTCATGATTTAAAGACCAGTGTCAGGGAGCTTAATGTTTCACAATTATTTTCAAAAATACCTCTAAGGATATGTAGATGCATGCTGACCTTATTCCATAACTTTGCTTAATTTCACATTTTGTAATGGGTATAAAGTAGATATTTGAATGATGTTTGAGCACAAGAAGATCAACATTGGCTCAAGTTGCTTTTTCAGACACATATGTACATTTTTAATGAGGCTTCTAAAGTCAGATTGGAACATGGATTCTGGAAGACAGCCTTTGAAGAGATGATCAGATTACAATGAGTTCAGCCTGGCATTTAAAATAAGCAACAATCTTTTGTTAAATTAAGTGCCTGGTTAGATTTGCAAATATTATATAAACAGTCCGACTTGTCAGAGAAGGCAAACAGTGGCCTTTTCTACATTTTATGTAAATTACACAACCTTGGCTGTGTATGAGGTGATAATCTGTCATTTATATAGAGGTCACACAAGGTGACAAAGTGTTATGCATGTAGAGGTCACACAAGGTGACAAAGTGTTGTGCATGTAGAGGTCACACAAGGTGACAAGATTGTTGTGCATGTAGAGGTCACACAAGGTGTCAAAGTGTTGTGCATGTAGAGGTCACACAAGGTGACAAAGTGTTGTGTATGTAGAGGTCACACAGGGTGGTGAACTGTTGTGTATGTAGAGGTCACACAGCTGGGTGATGAACTTTTGTTTATATAGAGGTCACACAGCTTGGTGATGAGCTGTAGGTTATATAGAGGTCACACAGCTTGGTGATGAGCTGTAGGTTATATAGAGGTCACACAGCTTGGTGATTAACAGTTGTGTATGTAGAGGTCACACAAAGGAGTGAACTGTTGTGTATGTAGATATCACACAGGATGATGAACTGTTGTGTATGTAGACATCACACAGGGTGATGAAAACAAGGTAACATATGTAGACTGTATTGCTGAACAGGCGACTTATCTCCTCTGCTCAAGATTTCCTATGGTTAATGCCCATGATTCCTGTTGTAAATCCCCTCTGTTTCTTGGAAATAATCCCCCATAATTACTGTGGTAAATCCCCATAATTCCTGTGGTGAATTCGCATGATTCCAGTGGTAAATCCCCATAATTCCTGTGGTAAATCCCCCATAATTCCTGTGGTAAATTTTCATTATTCCTGTGGTAAATTCCCATGATTCTCGTGGTAAATCCCCATAATTTCTGTGGTAAATCCCCCCATAATTCCTGTGGTAAATTCCCATTATTCCTGTGGTAAATCTCAATAATTCCTGTGGTAAATTCCCATTATTCCTGTGGTAAATCTCAATAATTCCTGCAGTAAATCCCCATAATTCCTGTGGTAAATCCCCCATAATTTCTGTGGTAAATCCCCATTATTCCTGTGGTAAATCCCCATAAACTCTGTGGTAAATTCCTATGATTCCAGTAGTAAGTCTCCACTAACAGTCTTACACACTTCTTATGACTGTGATTAACTCCGTATAGGTGTTCACAGTATACATAAGGTAGACTAAACATAGATGTTCACATTATACGACAGGTATATGTAACGAGAGTGACTTGACTTTAAGTATTCAAAATAAATGATAGAAATTGCTGTTTCTTGACCATTTGTTATGATCATGATTATTTTTTTGTGTACAGTTCGGTATAAACAAGAACCTGAATGAGAAACTGAATTTTAATTTTTGTTTACAGTTTGGTATAAATGAGAAGCTGACATTCGAGGACTTCAAGCAGTGGACACATCGTCACAGTCCACATGTTTTCTGGGGGGTTCACAACTGGGTCTACACCATCATGACAGGGTCCAAAATGCCGGAGGAACAGGTAGGCGATCTTACTGTTAAGATTCTGTATCGTGTCAGAAATCTTTACAGTTGGTACACCAGCTGTTGTCTCAGAGTTTCTTTACAGTTGGTACACCAGGTATTGTCTCAGAGTTTCTTTACAAGAGACACCAGCTGTTGTCTCAGAGCTTCTTTACAGTTGGTACACCAGCTGTTGTCTCAGAGTTATTTTACAGTTGGTACACCAGCTGTTGTCTCAGAGTTTCTTTACAACAAGAGACACCAGGTATTGTCTCAGAGTTTCTTTACAGTTGGTACACCAGGTATTGTCTCAGAGTTTCTTTACAAGAGACACCAGCTGTTGTCTCAGAGTTTCTTTACAGTTGGTACACCAGCTGTTGTCTCAGAGTTTCTTACAGTTGGTACACCAGGTGTTGTCTCAGAGTTATTTTACAGTTGGTACACCAGCTGTTGTCTCAGAGTTTCTTTACAAGAGACACCAGGTATTGTTTCAGAGTTTCTTTATAATTGGTACAGCAGGTATTGTCTCAGAGTTTCTTTACAGTTGGTACACCAGCTGTTGTCTCAGAGTTTCTTTACAAGAGACACCAGGTATTGTCTCAGAGTTTCTTTACAAGAGACACCAGCTGTTGTCTCAGAGTTTCTTTATAGTTGGTACACCAGGTGTTGTCTCAGAGTTATTTTACAGTTGGTACACCAGCTGTTGTCTCAGAGTTTCTTTACAAGAGACACCAGGTATTGTTTCAGAGTTTCTTTATAATTGGTACAGCAGGTATTGTCTCAGAGTTTCTTTACAGTTGGTACACCAGCTGTTGTCTCAGAGTTTCTTTACAAGAGACACCAGCTGTTGTCTCAGAGTTTCTTTACAAGAGACACCAGCTGTTGTCTCAGAGTTTCTTTACAAGAGACACCAGGTATTGTCTCAGAGTTTCTTTACAGTTGGTACACCAGCTGTTGTCTCAGAGTTTCTTTACAGTTGGTACACCAGGTATTGTCTCAGAGTTTCTTTACAAGAGACACCAGCTGTTGTCTCAGAGCTTCTTTACAGTTGGTACACCAGCTGTTGTCTCAGAGTTATTTTACAGTTGGTACACCAGCTGTTGTCTCAGAGTTTCTTTACAAGAGACACCAGGTATTGTCTCAGAGTTTCTTTACAGTTGGTACACCAGGTATTGTCTCAGAGTTTCTTTACAAGAGACACCAGCTGTTGTCTCAGAGTTATTTTACAGTTGGTACACCAGCTGTTGTCTCAGAGTTTCTTTACAAGAGACACCAGATATTGTCTCAGAGTTTCTTTACAGTTGGTACACCAGCTGTTGTCTCAGAGTTTCTTACAGTTGGTACACCAGGTGTTGTCTCAGAGTTATTTTACAGTTGGTACACCAGCTGTTGTCTCAGAGTTTCTTTACAAGAGACACCAGGTATTGTTTCAGAGTTTCTTTATAATTGGTACAGCAGGTATTGTCTCAGAGTTTCTTTACAGTTGGTACACCAGCTGTTGTCTCAGAGTTTCTTTACAAGAGACATCAGGTATTGTCTCAGAGTTTCTTTACAAGAGACACCAGCTGTTGTCTCAGAGTTTCTTTATAGTTGGTACACCAGGTGTTGTCTCAGAGTTATTTTACAGTTGGTACACCAGCTGTTGTCTCAGAGTTTCTTTACAAGAGACACCAGGTATTGTTTCAGAGTTTCTTTATAATTGGTACAGCAGGTATTGTCTCAGAGTTTCTTTACAGTTGGTACACCATCTGTTGTCTCAGAGTTTCTTTACAAGAGACACCAGCTGTTGTCTCAGAGTTTCTTTACAAGAGACACCAGCTGTTGTCTCAGAGTTTCTTTACAAGAGACACCAGGTATTGTCTCAGAGTTTCTTTACAGTTGGTACACCAGCTGTTGTCTCAGAGTTATTTTACAGTTGGTACACCAGCTGTTGTCTCAGAGTTTCTTTACAGCTGGTACACCAGGTGTTGTCTCAGAGTTATTTTACAGTTGGTACACCAGGTATTGTCTCAGAGTTTCTTTACAGTTGGTACACCAGCTATTGTCTCAGAGTTTCTTTACAGCTGGTACACCAGCTGTTGTCTCAGAGATATTTTACAGTTGGTACACCAGCTGTTGTCTCAGAGTTTCTTTACAGCTGGTACACCAGCTAGTGTCTCAGAGTTTCTTTACAGCTGGTACACCAGGTGTTGTCTCAGAGTTTCTTTACTGTTGGTACACCAGGTGTTGTCTCAGAGTTATTTTACAGTTGGTACACCAGCTGTTGTCTCAGAGTTTCTTTACAGCTGGTACACCAGCTGTTGTCTCAGAGTTATTTTACAGTTGGTACACCAGCTATTGTCTCAGAATTTCTTTACAGTTGGTACACCAGCTGTTGTCTCAGAGTTTCTTTACAGCTGGTACACCAGGTGTTGTCTCAGAGTTTCTTTACAGTTGGTACACCAGCTGTTGTCTCAGAGTTTCTTTACAGCTGGTACACCAGCCGTTGTCTCAGAGTTATTTTACAGTTGGTACACCAGGTATTGTCTCAGAATTTCTTTACAGTTGGTACACCAGCTGTTGTCTCAGAATTTCTTTACAGTTGTACACCAGCTGTTGTCTCAGAATTTCTTTACAGTTGGTACACCAGCCGTTGTCTCAGAGTTTCTTTACAAGAGACACCAGCTGTTGTCTCAGAATTTCTTTACAGTTGGTACACCAGCTGTTGTCTCAGAGTTTCTTACAGTTGGTACACCAGCTGTTGTCTCAGAATTTCTTTACAGTTGGTACAACAGCCGTTGTCTCAGAGTTTCTTTACAAGAGACACCAGCTGTTGTCTCAGAATTTCTTTACAGTTGGTACACCAGCTGTTGTCTCAGAATTTCTTTACAGTTGGTACACCAGCCGTTGTCTCAGAGTTTCTTTACAAGAGACACCAGCTGTTGTCTCAGAATTTCTTTACAGTTGGTACACCAGCTGTTGTCTCAGAATTTCTTTACAGTTGGTACACCAGCCGTTGTCTCAGAGTTTCTTTACAAGAGACACCAGCTGTTGTCTCAGAATTTCTTTACAGTTGGTACACCAGCCGTTGTCTCAGAGTTTCTTTACAAGAGACACCAGCTGTTGTCTCAGAATTTCTTTACAGTTGGTACACCAGCTGTTGTCTCAGAGTTTCTTTACAGTTGGTACACCAGGTGTTGTCTCAGAGTTTCTTTACAGTTGGTACACCAGGTGTTGTCTCAGAGTTTCTTTACAGTTGGTACATCAGCTGTTGTCTCGGAGTTTCTTTACAGTTGGTACACCAGCTGTTGTCTCAGAGTTTCTTTACAGTTGGTACACCAGGTGTTGTCTCAGAGTTTCTTTACAGTTGGTACACCAGCTGTTGTCTCAGAGTTTCTTTACAGTTGGTACACCAGCTGTTGTCTCAGAGTTTCTTTACAAGAGACACCAGCTGTTGTCTCACAGTTTCTTTACAAGAGACACCAGCTGTTGTCTCAGAATTTCTTTACAGTTGGTACACCAGCTGTTGTCTCAGAGTTTCTTTACAGTTGGTACACCAGCCGTTGTCTCAGAGTTTCTTTACAAGAGACACCAGCTGTTGTCTCACAGTTTCTTTACAGCTGGTACACCAGCTGTTGTCTCAGAGTTTCTTTACAGTTGGTACACCAGCTGTTGTCTCAGAGTTTCTTTACAGTTGGTACACCAGCTGTTGTCTCAGAGTTTCTTTACAGTTGGTACACCAGCTGTTGTCTCAGAGTTTCTTTACAGTTGGTACACCAGCTGTTGTCTCAGAGTTTCTTTACAGTTGGTACACCAGCTGTTGTCTCAGAGTTTCTTTACAGTTGGTACACCAGCTGTTGTCTCAGAGTTTCTTTACAGTTGGTACACCAGGTGTTGTCTCAGAGTTTCTTTACAGTTGGTACACCAGGTGTTGTCTCAGAGTTTCTTTACAGTTGGTACACCAGCTGTTGTCTCAGAGTTTCTTTACAGTTGGTACACCAGCTGTTGTCTCAGAGTTTCTTTACAGTTGGTACACCAGGTGTTGTCTCAGAGTTTCTTTACAGTTGGTACACCAGCTGTTGTCTCAGAGTTTCTTTACAGTTGGTACACCAGCTGTTGTCTCAGAGTTTCTTTACAGTTGGTACACCAGGTGTTGTCTCAGAGTTTCTTTACAGTTGGTACACCAGGTGTTGTCTCAGAGTTTCTTTACAGTTGGTACACCAGGTGTTGTCTCAGAGTTTCTTTACAGTTGGTACACCAGGTGTTGTCTCAGAGTTTCTTTACAGTTGGTACACCAGCTGTTGTCTCAGAGTTTCTTTACAGTTGGTACACCAGGTGTTGTCTCAGAGTTTCTTTACAGTTGGTACACCAGGTGTTGTCTCAGAGTTTCTTTACAGTTGGTACACCAGGTGTTGTCTCAGAGTTTCTTTACAGTTGGTACACCAGGTGTTGTCTCAGAGTTTCTTTACAGTTGGTACACCAGGTGTTGTCTCAGAGTTTCTTTACAGTTGGTACACCAGGTGTTGTCTCAGAGTTTCTTTACAGTTGGTACACCAGGTGTTGTCTCAGAGTTTCTTTACAGTTGGTACACCAGGTGTTGTCTCAGAGTTTCTTTACAGTTGGTACACCAGCTGTTGTCTCAGAGTTTCTTTACAGTTGGTACACCAGGTGTTGTCTCAGAGTTTCTTTACAGCTGGTACACCAGGTATCATCTCAGAGTTTCTTTACAGTTGGTACACCAGCTGTTGTCTCAGAGTTTCTTTACAGTTGATACACCAGCTGTTGTCTCAGAGTTTCTTTACAAGAGACACCAGCTGTTGTCTCAGAATTTCTTTACAGTTGGTACACCAGCTGTTGTCTCAGAGTTTCTTTACAGTTGGTACACCAGGTATCATCTCAGAGTTTCTTTACAGTTGGTACACCAGCTGTTGTCTCAGAGTTTCTTTACAGTTGGTACACCAGCTAGTGTCTCAGAGTTTCTTTACAGCTGGTACACCAGGTGTTGTCTCAGAGTTTCTTTACTGTTGGTACACCAGCCGTTGTCTCAGAGTTTCTTTACAAGAGACACCAGCTGTTGTCTCAGAGTTTCTTTACAGTTGTTACACCAGCTATTGTCTCAGAGTTTCTTTACAAGAGACACCAGCTGTTGTCTCAGAATTTCTTTACAGTTGGTACACCAGGTATCATCTCAGAGTTTCTTTACAGTTGGTACACCAGCTGTTGTCTCAGAGTTTCTTTACAGTTGGTACACCAGCTGTTGTCTCAGAGTTTCTTTACAGTTGATACACCAGCTGTTGTCTCAGAGTTTCTTTACAGCTGGTACACCAGCTGTTGTCTCAGAGTTTCTTTACAGTTGGTAACCCAGCCGTTGTCTCAGAGTTTCTTTACAGTTGGTACACCAGCTGTTGTCTCAGAGTTTCTTTACAGTTGGTAACCCAGCCGTTGTCTCAGAGTTTCTTTACAGTTGGTACACCAGCTGTTGTCTCAGAGTTTCTTTACAGTTGGTAACCCAGCCGTTGTCTCAGAGTTATTTTACAGTTGGTACACCAGCTGTTGTCTCAGAGTTTCTTTACAGTTGGTACACCAGCTGTTGTCTCAGAGTTTCTTTACAGTTGGTAACCCAGCCGTTGTCTCAGAGTTTCTTTACAGTTGGTACACCAGCTGTTGTCTCAGAGTTATTTTACAGTTGGTACACCAGCTGTTGTCTCAGAGTTTCTTTACAGTTGGTACATCAGCTGTTGTCTCAGAGTTTCTTTACAGTTGGTACATCAGCTGTTGTCTCAGAGTTTCTTTACAGTTGATACACCAGCTATTGTCTCAGAGTTTCTTTACAGTTGATACACCAGCTATTGTCTCAGAATTTCTTTACAGTTGGTACATCAGCTGTTGTCTCAGAGTTTCTTTACAGTTGGTACACCAGCTGTTGTCTCAGAGTTTCTTTACAGTTGGTACACCAGCTGTTGTCTCAGAGTTATTTTACAGTTGGTACATCAGCTGTTGTCTCAGAGTTTCTTTACAGTTGGTACACCAGCTGTTGTCTCAGAGTTATTTTACAGTTGGTACACCAGGTGTTGTCTCAGAGTTTCTTTACAGCTGGTACACCAGGTGTTGTCTCAGAGTTTCTTTACAGTTGGTACACCAGCTGTTGTCTCAGAGTTATTTTACAGTTGGTACACCAGGTGTTGTCTCAGAGTTATTTTACAGTTGGTACACCAGGTGTTGTCTCAGAATTTCTTTACAGCTGGTACACCAGCTGTTGTCTCAGAGTTATTTTACAGTTGGTACACCAGCTGTTGTCTCAGAGTTTCTTTACAGTTGGTACATCAGCTGTTGTCTCAGAGTTTCTTTACAGTTGGTACATCAGCTGTTGTCTCAGAGTTTCTTTACAGTTGGTACACCAGCTGTTGTCTCAGAATTTCTTTACAGTTGGTACACCAGCTGTTGTCTCAGAGTTTCTTTACAGTTGGTACACCAGCTGTTGTCTCAGAGTTTCTTTACAGTTGGTACACCAGCTGTTGTCTCAGAGTTTCTTTACAGTTGGTACACCAGCTGTTGTCTCAGAGTTATTTTACAGTTGGTACACCAGCTGTTGTCTCAGAGTTTCTTTACAGTTGGTACACCAGCTGTTGTCTCAGAGTTTCTTTACAGTTGGTACACCAGCTGTTGTCTCAGAATTTCTTTACAGTTGGTACACCAGCTGTTGTCTCAGAGTTTCTTTACAGTTGGTACACCAGCTGTTGTCTCAGAGTTTCTTTACAAGAGACACCAGCTGTTGTCTCAGAATTTCTTTACAGTTGGTACACCAGCTGTTGTCTCAGAGTTTCTTTACAGTTGGTACACCAGCTGTTGTCTCAGAGTTTCTTTACAGTTGGTACACCAGGTGTTGTCTCAGAATTTCTTTACAGTTGGTACATCAGCTGTTGTCTCAGAGTTTCTTTACAGTTGGTACACCAGCTGTTGTCTCAGAGTTTCTTTACAGTTGGTACACCAGCTGTTGTCTCAGAGTTTCTTTACAGTTGGTACACCAGGTGTTGTCTCAGAGTTTCTTTACAGTTGGTACACCAGCTGTTGTCTCAGAGTTTCTTTACAGTTGGTACACCAGCTGTTGTCTCAGAGTTTCTTTACAGTTGGTACACCAGGTGTTGTCTCAGAGTTTCTTTACAGTTGGTACACCAGGTATCGTCTCAGAGTTTCTTTACAAGAGACACCAGCTGTTGTCTCAGAGCTTCTTTACAGTTGGTACATCAGCTGTTGTCTCAGAGTTTCTTTACAGTTGGTACACCAGGTATCATCTCAGAGTTTCTCAATAGTTGGTACACCAGGTATCGTCTCAGAGTTTCTTTACAAGAGACACCAGCTGTTGTCTCAGAGCTTCTTTACAGTTGGTACACCAGCTGTTGTCTCAGAGTTTCTTTACAGCTGGTACATCAGCTGTTGTCTCAGAGTTTCTTTACAGTTGGTACACCAGCTGTTGTCTCAGAGTTTCTTTACAGCTGGTACATCAGCTGTTGTCTCAGAGTTTCTTTACAGTTGGTACACCAGCTGTTGTCTCAGAGTTTCTTTACAGTTGGTACACCAGGTGTTGTCTCAGAATTTCTTTACAGTTGGTACATCAGCTGTTGTCTCAGAGTTTCTTTACAGTTGGTAACCCAGCCGTTGTCTCAGAGTTTCTTTACAGTTGGTACACCAGCTGTTGTCTCAGAGTTTCTTTACAGTTGGTACACCAGCTGTTGTCTCAGAGTTTCTTTACAGCTGGTACATCAGCTGTTGTCTCAGAGTTTCTTTACAGTTGGTACACCAGCTGTTGTCTCAGAGTTTCTTTACAGTTAGTACACCAGGTGTTGTCTCAGAGTTTCTTTACAGTTGGTACACCAGGTGTTGTCTCAGAGTTTCTTTACAGTTGGTACACCAGGTATCGTCTCAGAGTTTTTTTATAGTTGGTTAACCAGGAACCAGAGTTTCATACCAGCAGGGGAAATATCACATTTCATCTGATAATTAAAGCTAATGGGGAGCATCCACAACATAAACAGATAAACAACTAAGAGGTTAGAAGTGATAGTCATTTTGTTTACATTAACTCTTCTCTTTGTCTTTACATCTGTTGGTTCCTTAAGAAGAAAAGAGAATACCTTTCTTAATTTTCACTCCATCTCTCCATTAACACAATGTTCCAAGTCCTTTAATGTGTTTTGTCGATCTTGAAGTCTATAGATTCTGTTAACTTACTTAATTTTGACCAATCAAATTAGAGCAATGATGAATTTGCTTATCCACTATTGTCATATAAACAACATACAGACACTGCATTTAGCACACTCCTATTTAAGTGCAATAATTTCAATCAGAATAATGGGTAAAATAAGCTCAAATAGATATGTTATGTTATACACCAGGGTGGTGTCATTCTATGCTTCTGTTTTACAGGAAGTCAGTGCGCCAGTTCCTCTTCTTGAGAAATTTGTGGAGGGGAAGTACTGTATGTGTATGGGTATGTTATGGGCACTGTCCACTGTTCTACCCTCCTCATACACTCACACAGACAAGGAAGAAGGTAGCGAGGCTCCTTCAACCTCAAATAAAAATCCACTTCTAACGTCCTACATGGTCATGATGAAACTTGTAAGTACTCACAGGAAATAATTATCTCTAGTCTATTACTTACATGAACTACCAGTTTTTTTTTGTGTTTTTTTTTTTTTTTTTTGTGGGGGGGCGGGGGGAGGGTGTTAAGAACCCAACTCCAAATGTCATTGGTTTCCTTTCATTCACATTTCTGTTGATTTAACTGACTCCCTTGATTTAGAAATAAATTTTTGCCAGCTGTAATTAGATTGGCACAATGATAAATGATTGCTTCATCTTCACATGACAAAAAAAGTGGCCATAGTCTGTATGAAATGTATATTGTGTTAGAGTCTGTCCACTGAACAGGCTGGTGAAATAAGTCTTCTGATGAACAAGTTAATACTTACTCTATGGCCAAGAATACTTATCTTGAATAGTACAAGAGAATTGCATTTGTGATATCGGTATAAAATTTCATAATGTGTGATTTTTCATGCCAAATGACCATTTATTCTGTGTAGTGTAAATGAGGCATCTCTGCAGTGTTTCCTCTTTTGACAGGCTCGTCTATCAAAGTGTCAGAGTTGGGCATTACTGTACGACAGCACAGAACATGGACTCTCACAAAACCGGTAAGACAATTGCACAGATCTTGAGACAGAGCCATGAATAATGCCTGTGTGAATGTCAGAAAGAAAAAAAAAATTAAAATAATATCAAAATCTAAATCCATAACATTAAAATCTTTTTTTAGATTTGCTCACCATGTGATGTCATACCAAGGACCAACAGTGACCTTGGTGTCATTTGAAGGTCGTAATGTGTACTGTATAGCTGAGGATAGACAATGGAGGTGAGAGGTCTCATAATTCGGCATGCTTAGATTAAATCAAGGGCTGTAACAATTTATATTATTTCAATGTCCTTGTTCTACATCTATTTCCTATTTCAATACTTTCAGATAGTTTGTTAATTAGTTACAGGGCAGCAGTGATTCTTTCACAGATCAGTGTATTCAAGGGAAGTAACTCATAAGAATATCACAGCAAATAATGTTACATTGTATTGAAGTCAGTCAGTAATATACTAGCTTGATATAATTCTAATTTCAACTCCTGCAATAACTTATTCAATTATTAAAATATGTATGTGCTGTATACATGCTGAATATGTGCTGTATGATTTGAATGCTTTAGAAAGAGATTAAACCCAAACCATTGTCATCTTTATAAATAGTTTGTATATTTTTAGGTTATTGTCTAATTTTGTTTACAGGGAAGGGTTACAGAAATTTGGAGATGTGGATAGCATGTTAATACAACTTACACCTGTCTACAGAGTCATACAATGTAAGTATTGATTGCCATGGAAACATGTCTAGCTGGTTATACATTATTGGTATATGTTACCATGGAAACCTGTCTAAAGTGTCAAAAACTATCGGTATATGTTACCATGGAAACCAGTCTAAATTTTCAAAAACTAGTGGTATATATTACCATGGAAGCCTGTCTAAAGTGTCATATATTACCATGGAAAACTGTCTAAAGTGTCAGACATTACTGGTATATGTTACCATGGAAACCTGTCTAGAGTGACAGACACTATTGGTATATGTTACCATAGAAACTTTCTTCTTCATTATCATATAATGTAAGGTTTTATTATCAGTGTGTCATGTAATGTATGTGTTACCATGGAATTGAGTAAAGTGCAGTACATTGTAAGTTTGAAGCCATTAAAGTCAGTCTACAAAGAGTCATCGTAAGCTGTCATCTGTCCTCATCTTTTATGGGCTGTTTGTCAAGTATTAGCTGTGATGAGACATCAAAAGATACACACAATTTTTCATAACTTTAAGCACACTTGTGTAGCTATAGTATGTTTTGTTGTTACTACCTAGATACAATAAGTGATGTGTTGTTTGCAGCCTGTCATACCTATGTTCAGTAGATAAAGTAACTTGGTACAGTAGATACAAAAATAAGTGTCTTGTTGTTTTACAGCTGGTGGTCCATTGGTTCAGTGGAATGAACACTCGCGTGATGTAAAAAAAGGAATTCATGTTGGTAAAGACTCTAAATCTCTAGTCCTGTCCATCCCCTCAGACTTTGACAAGGTGGAACATTACCACATTCCATGTGAAATACATAAACTTGAGGTGAGGGATCCATGTTGACTTGTCATTTCCTTAAATGAAATTTGAAAAGATGTCTGTTTTTTTCAGGTACATATTTTTAACTCCACATGCCCGAACCTACTGTGTCATGTGGCATGCATTCATTGTCCATTCTGCTGGAAGGTTCCTGTTATTAAGCTCAACAAGTTTGCAAAAAGAAATGACCTCGGCATACATGTCACACAGGCAAATAGATTAAAACCTTCAAATGACTTCTTCTGAATGACCAAATGTTCTGGAATCATGATGGCTGGTAGATTCTTTGGATTAAGCCCAACCAAGTTTGTAAAAAGAAATGACCTTGGCATATATTCAAGATCACAGGTGTTGAATTGGTTAAAACTTTCAGCATCTCTTCTTCTGATTAACAAATGTCAAGAATCATGATATTTGGCTAATAGACTCCTGGGATGAAGTCTGACAGATGTTATAAGAAGATATGACCTTGATCCATATTCGAGATCTCGAGTCAAATGGGCAAAATATTGTAAAAACTTGCCAATAACTAAGGCTTTCAATATCGGTTTATGTAAAATGTATTTGTGGAAAGCATTTAATTCCAGATGAGTGATGCGAGACGATTGGGCCTTATATTATTGAAAGTTATAAATATTACCTCCTTAATCTTGGTTTATTGATGTCTAGGTTACTTCTAATCTCTATATGAAAAGGGAATTAATCACAAAAACATATTACATATTCAAGCATTAACAGTATGTTTGTAAGTCTGATTTATTCTGTGGCCTAGTTTCTCCTTTCTGGTAGATACTTCATTGGAACCTGTCCAGTTTAATCCTCACCCTGTATATGTTTAGGAACCCATACTCACAACAAAGTGTCACCAAATTTCACCTGATCTTGGCTCAGTCCCTCTGAATATCTCTGATCTATGTTTCAGTTAAGGAGGTATGGTGTCTTCCATATCATACATATAATCTATGTTTCAGTATAGGAGGTACTATGTCTTACACATCAAACCTGTAATCTATGTTTCAGTTAAGGAGGTATGGTATCTTCCAAATCGTTTCAATAAAGGAAGTATAGTGTAAGATCTCTTGTGAAATGTATGCTGTTCTTTTCGTAATGTAATGAATCAGAAACAATATTGAAAACGAAAGGAAAACTTTGCTACGAGGAAGAAATAATCTGATTACATGTGTTATTTTTGTGATGGATAGGTTTGGGGATGTGGTTCAGAGCAGGCAAGAGATGCTCAGCTTCAGCAAAAGAAGTGGGAATACAAGAATGCAGAAAAACACCAGGCAAGAAAGGTAGGTAACAAAGTAGGCCATTACCAAACTTTAGGAGTTTTACCTGTTGTCATAAAATGTGGTTGTTATTGAATGAATTAATGATCAGTTCTATATCATATTCTGGTGGTTTTAAAACATGATTAACTATGTATATAAATTTTATATGAAAACAAACATTTAGCAAAATATCAACTCCTTTTTCAATAAGAGTACAATACTCAAATCATGTTGATTATGAATTAAAACTGTTATTTGTAGCTTCGTTTGGATACCAACTGGGATGAGAATCCAGACAAACAGATCTTACAGTGGGGCGGCATCAATGTTGATCATCAGTACTCAAGGGATGGAGGATTCTGAAAAATTTCTCTCCACAAGAGGTTTTTTTTTAACTAACTGGAGATACCTGTGGTTCTAGCCGATGTTCTTTTCAAAGGAGGCAACTCCTCATGATTCCCCGAACATCATGGGTGAAATCATCAATCCATATAGGAAAATCAGTATAAAAAACTATATTAGCCTCAAAGTATTTTATTTATTTGAAGTGCGTTGTTGAATGCTTAAGGTACGAGTTGACATTCTTCAGAAGGGAGGTAACTGCTTATAACTGCCAATAACACCTCGAGTGAAGTCATCTATTTGTAAATTTAGTACAGCAATGAAACAAGAAGTATGATCATTTTAAGCCATATGGTATATTGTTAATTTGAATTGTTTCCAGTACCAGCTGATATTCCTCTAAGGGAGGTAACTCCTTATGATGTGACTTATCATGACTGGTGAAGTCATCTATATGTGAACTTGGTACGCCAATGATAGTCAGTATAAACACATGATTAAGTACTTTGTGTAATTGAAGTGAGTTGTTTTACGTACAGGAGTTGGTGACATTCCATAATTTCTACTGTAAAACAAAATATATCCTAATTGTTTATAATATAACTTGTTTATTTTGTGTACTGCCATTACTGTGATAATGTTACTGGAGTCGGTAATCATCCAATGTTCTGTGAGTCAATGTTAGTCCCCTGAACTTTGGAACAACTTTGATTGAATAATCAGTCTTAGGTAAAGCAGTTCAATAATTTAGCAACATATTTTCAGTTTTTACCTAAATCATATAATTAGTTAAAATATCAACAACCTAGGTATTTTATGTTAATTATCTGTAGACAGTAAATCAGGTATATCATCTGTAGATTGTGTCTGTGGTATATCATCTGTAGATGGTGTCTCTGGTATATCATCTGTAGATGGTGTCTGTGGTATATCATCTGTAGATGGTGTCTCTGGTATATCATCTGTAGATGGTGTCTTTGGTATATCATCTGTAGATGGTGTCTCTGGTATATCATCTGTAGATGGTGTATATCATCTGTAGATGGTGTCTGTGGTATATCATCTGTAGATGGTGTATATCATCTGTAGATGGTGTCTGTGGTATATCATCTGTAGATGGTGTCTGTGGTATATCATCTGTAGATGTGGTATATCATCTGTAGATGGTGTATATCATCTGTAGATGGTGTCTGTGGTATATCATCTGTAGATGGTGTCTGTGGTATATCATCTGTAGATGGTGTCTCTGGTATATCATCTGTAGATGGTGTATATCATCTGTAGATGGTGTCTGTGGTATATCATCTGTAGATGGTGTCTGTGGTATATCATCTGTAGATGGTGTCTGTGGTATATCATCTGTAGATGGTGTCTGTGGTATATCATCTGTAGATGGTGTCTCTGGTATATCATCTGTAGATGGTGTCTGTGGTATATCATCTGTAGATGGTGTCTCTGGTATATCATCTGTAGATGGTGTCTGTGGTATATCATCTGTAGATGGTGTCTGTGGTATATCATCTGTAGATGGTGTCTGTGGTATATCATCTGTAGATTGTGTCTGTGGTATATCATCTGTAGATGGTGTCTGTGGTATATCATCTGTAGATGGTGTCTCTGGTATATCATCTGTAGATGGTGTCTGTGGTATATCATCTGTAGATGGTGTCTCTGGTATATCATTTGTAGATGGTGTCTCTGGTATATCATCTGTAGATGGTGTATATCATCTGTAGATGGTGTCTCTGGTATATCATCTGTAGATAGTGTCTCTGGTATATCATCTGTAGATGGTGTCTCTGGTATATCATCTGTAGATGGTGTCTCTGGTATAAGATTTGAAGACAATATACCACATATTCAATAACTATACTGTATTTTGGTGTCACTCTGAAGAAACCTGGACTTGATACCCTGATTCCAGCTATACAGGTTTAGTTTCCAACAAAGGTTGAATTTTTTGTTTATCAATATTAATTGATATATGTGTCAATTTTTCTGTAATTGTTGATTTATAAACTTACTTTCACCACAAAAGTTTAGCATACCTACACAAGAATATTAGATGTTCATATTGTTATCAAATATGTGTCTGTGGTATATCATCTGTAGCAACACAATATAGCTGATTAAAGTAATTGAATTTGGAATTTATACAAAAAACAACCCAAGACTTGACTACTAGTTAAGCTGTTTATTGATAATGATCAAGAAATCTTCTGTAGCAACCAAAAACAATCTCTTTGGCGTAATAGGGGCTACTCACTCATAAGCAAACTATCAAGCATTTAATTGTGACAAGCTTGACTCTGCGACATCAGAGAAGCAAAGTAAAAGTGAACTGTGCTTGACTCCAGAACAGGAGAAATCACTTGATTCTGATGAACGAGAAGCGATTAGACTCACTGATGCCAGAGAAGCCAGGAATGATAGGGCTAGACTCTGTAAGAATATAGAGAAGTACTTGACTCTAAGAGACTCAGAAGGTTCTAGAGAAGTGGCTGGACTCTGACACTGACTCACAGAGCAGCTAGTATAATGCAAGGACAAACTTGACTCCAGGGTAACCAATGAGAAGACTCTGGACTCTGAAACGTTACAGAGCAGTGACTTGACTTATGAAAGGACCCTGTCAAGAAGCTTGACCCCCATTTACGCACATCCAATATAATAAAATTGATGAATGACAAGTCTAAAATAAGCTATAAAAAAAAATTTTCAAATAGAGAATAAAATTCCCCAGGAATTTCAAATTCATGGGGAATAGAGTTAAAAGCCAACACAAATCCCAACGAGAGTGAGTAGCCCAACTAAAATAGCAGTCAAAATATAAACATTTTCAAATAAAGTAGAACTAAATATATTTGTAATACAAGCAAAACAATGAACAGGTATATACAATATAAGTAAAACTTACAACCATCTGTCCTAAAGGTGATGAAGGGGATGGCGGGTGGGTAAGGTAAAAAAATAAAACACTTCTCTCGCTCATCAAACGCTGAAACTTAATGGAGCCAATACTGATACCCCTCTACGGGGTAATTGCTGATTGGCTAAAGATAAAGAAAAACACTCATTAGCATACTAATTAGCATACTCATTAGCATACTAATTAGCATAAAGTTAGTGCACATAAATGAACAAACAGAAATAAGATAAACTTAAAAAATAGGAACGAAAAGGAAGCTATAGGAGAACAGTTTCTTGTATAAACTCAAATTTAATAAAAATATTAAATTTTACATTTTATACAAAAAACAACCCATGATTTGACTACTAGTTATGTTGATTATTGATGATGATTGAAAAGTCTTCTGTTACAGAGCAGTGACTTGTCTCATGAAATGACCCTGTCAAGGAGCTTGACCCTCATTTACGCACATCCAATATAGTAAAAATGAATGACATGTACAAAACAAGCTGTAAGGAGACTTTAAAATTGGGGATAAAATTCCCCAGGAATTTAAAAGTCAAAACGAGTGAGTAAATGTGCTTACGAGCGAGTGCCGTGACTTGACTCATGAAAGGACCCTGTCAAGAAGCTTGACCCCCATTTACGCACATCCAATATAGTAAAATTTATGAAAAACATATATAAAACAAGCTGGAAGTTAGTAAGACAAGATATTGTATCTCTTTGTTAAAAATTGTCTCTGTCTGTAGTTAATTGATCCCATCCCCCATGCATACTTCAAAAAGTTACTTGTTGTTGGCATATTAGTGGCTTGAAACGGTACTTTCTACCGCACATTTTCAGATTTTACGCAAAAATTTTACAATGGTGCTTTCAAAATGTGCAAAAGTAAATTGCTGCAAACTTCATGGCAAACATTAGTGAGAACAAAAGAAAGTTGATCTACATCTGAGTGTAAAAAATTCATGAATTGCTGTGTGCCACTTCTAATGTAACTGTTATATTACCTGTATTGTGATGAGTGTGGTGCTACCTTTTGTATAAATATTACTGTAGTATAAACTTGTTTATTTAATTCATATGTTTATCTCATGCTAATCAGTAATATATTTCATTTGTAGGTTCCATAAATGCAAATATAACAGTAGAAATCCGTTTCAGTTTAATTGTTTTGTGATAATTTTGTGCCATTCTTTATAGATCTCTATCGATAAAAAAAAAATTAGTGTTCACAACAGTAGTCATTGTCAGGTCATGTTAAACATGCTGGTCATGTTTATGTTAAGTGTTTACAAAGTGTGTTGTTTTGTCCTTATAATATTAGAATATCTATTTATGCATTATCCTTATATCACTGCTGTGTTTTAAAAAAAAAAGATGTCTCTAATGCAGACAGCTCTGTTAACATTCTGCCTGCATGTCACTGTTGATAGTAGTGGTTGGAATATTTGTATAATATAACTGTTTACTAATTATTATGTAAAATTGATTCCCATCACTGTTACTGCAGTAATGTGTTCTTGTATGGTAAATATTGTTTCTAGTTCCGAGCTCCGAGCTCTTCAAACTCAGAATCGCAGATATCCATGACAAGATGATTATAGAAACAAAGCTAAAAAGTTTTCAGTTATGAATTTGGTATGTTTTTCCTAAACCAATTTTGTTTTATTTGTTGGTAGACTGTTTTTGTATATAAACTGGTAGTATATCTGTGTATATATACCCGAAGTAGATTGAAAAAAACCTCATTCATTTGAACCAGTTTATTGGTATTTCTCTCAACTGGAATATAATGTTTACAATTTGTGCAAATTGATGGTATGTGATTACAACCGTTACCTACAAAGACCTCTCTGTGTTGTTATGTAAAGAACACAACTTTATTAATTTTTTTTTTATCTTTTATTGTGATTTTTTTGAAAGTTAATTACAAATGTCAAGTACAGTTTAAGAATACCAGTATATTTAAACATAGAATTTAATTTTGATGAATCACTGACAACACCAAAATTGTTGTACCTTGTTTTCATTAGGAGAAATATTCGGTGATACGGACCCTTTACCCTATTGTACTGTATCATGGAGTTTGGGAGCCAGGTTATATTGAAATCAGTGATAATTCATTTAGATGTCACGAGGACAAATCAAATGCTTCATCAGGCATTTGTTTGGAAATATTGTGTCTTTATAGGATTAGTTAAGCTAATGTGAAGTAAAATGCCTTGCCAATCTGGAAGAAGCCTTTCCATGAAAAAGAAGTCTATTCACATTGCCCAGTGTAACTGCTAGAAACAGATTGACAATCAATTTAATAAAATAAAAGAATGTGATTGTTGTTTTTTATGAGCTCATCTACCGGAAAAGTGAACTTACGGCCTGGCGTGTCGCCTGTCTCTCCACCTGTCAATTGTCAAAATTGTCAAAGAGGCACAGAGTCATATTGTTTTAAAATTAAATCCGATAAACACACAACACTGTTTACCCACAGATCCGTACGGGTGACAGGTAAGTGCCCATCTTACCAGTTCAAACTCAGTATTTTGGGGAGTAAGTGTTGTTTAGAAAATATTCCTCCTCTTGTGGTGTGTTAAACTGTCTATAAACGACAGCCAATTATATTTTCCTCTTCCAAATGTATTCTAGTAATGTTACTTCAAAGCTATGGCTGGACGCCCAGAGTGTCCCTGTTTCATCTGTAGCAACATTATGGTAATGGCAATTTTCTTTCTGGTACAACTGCTGTATGAACTCCCCATAACAGTTTATGATATAAATAGTCTCCTGATCACATACAACAATGTTACCTGTATTGTCATATGTAACGCATATAGGCCACAATTCTCTATGATCCTCTGTTGGCACGGTTCTTCTGTACCTGAAAAGTTCATTGAATGCTTTGTCTATAACTAAAACGTGGTCTCCATCAATCATTGCTATGTTTCTAGTAATTCTACACTCGGAAATACTTGAGGGTGACTTGCATAATGTCTGTCCGGAATTTGACTTTTTCGTCGAAAGGACAGTTTTTCCGTCTATTGTCAACTTTAATAATTCTTCATTTCTTCCAAGAAGAACATGTTCGTCTAGAGTTATGCAGATAGCGTTGAGCTTATTGTTATCCTGTTTAAATCGAAACTTTTTTTCTGTCGTCGTCAATTCTAGTACATCACCACCATACATCTGAACCCAGACATTTTGTGTCGTGGGTGATACGCTAATACCAAGGACTTCGTTATCAAACTTGATTTTTCGTTTCGCTTCACCTCTGTTGTTTATTAGTGTGATATCAACTGCACATGCACAGCATGTCCACATATCTTTACCAAGTGCGCTCATACCGCCGATCGGATCTGAGCTCCTGAATTCCGCAAGTAGCTTAAAATGTATTGGTTGTTTTATTGAATGCCGATTCTGTGACAACGAAGACCTGTCTAAATACTTTTCAGACTTTGTTGTCACTGACTGTAGAATCACTGACTTGGGTTTCACCATTGCCGGTGTCGCTTTTGGTGGTGCTGCTGAATCACATTTTGCCATTGTATCCAAAGAGATATTTGCACGAATATGTTCAAATGATCTCGGTGTTTGCAGCATGGCATCGGACCCATTGCTTGGCAAAGTCACAACTCCAAACGCACGTTCAATAGGCCGTGAAGGTTCAGGATTTGATATGAAAGTCGCCAACATCAAGTCAGGTACTTGTATTGGTATGACGTGTTGAGAGTCAATTTCCTTTTCAATGTCATGAACTTGAATATCGGAACCAGTCTGAATTGTGTCTTCACATTCTGTGAGAAAATTGAAGAATTGTTCTTTTTTTGTGTTGATGTCCTTCTTGTGGCTGTTCAACAATTTCATATTCTTTTCTTTCATTTTCCTAAATAAGGAGATCTTTGCCACTGTTAGGTCATCAATATTTTGCTTGAGTTTGCTGGCTTGTTGTTGTGCTGCAGCTGAAAGTTTCTCAAATTCTTCTGCATTTTTCTTCAACTTCTGGTCAACAGATAGTAAACTTTGTTCAAATCCATTGTGCGTAGTTGGTTTCGTAGTATCAATGAATTTTCGAATTCTTTCTTTTTTCTGTGGCGTGAGAGTCTTTAAATTGTCGATTTCGTGTCGTCGATGAATAGTTGATACACATTGTATACAGGCCAGCTCTTGACACGTAATACAGTACAGTTGGAATATTTCGTCACGGTGAAAAGAACAGTAGAGTTGTCCTTTTGCGCGTACAGGCAGTTGTCGTCCTTTGAAGAATGTCGTAGTTTTGTCGGCCATTGTGGAACATGAGAGGCTCAACTTACGGTTCAGCTACATATCCCGCGAACTGCTCTCTGGGTCAACATACGGTTCAGTAGAGGCAAATATCTTTGGAGTCGGCAACTTATTGTATGGACTGTTCTAAAGTGGTTTGCATAGTTCCTCTTCATCCGGAAAATATTACTTCCATATCGGTTATCCTTAATAGCGAACGGTTGTGTACAAGTAAGGTTCCTGTATCAACACAGTAATATTACATCCGCATTGCCTGAGAAAACATGTCTGTCAAAATCATGTGACAGATCGAGAGTATCCGGTATATCATACTCACTGTTTATATCGTCTGAAATTATTCATTTCAAATTATTCCTTGTGACTCTGTTGTTGACAAACATATATATATATATATATATATATATATATAAAAATCTTTAACGTACAAAAACTCCACGGAAACAACAAACAGTTAGTCACCTTAAGCTTGCGCACAAGTGCGTCTCTATGATGCAGTCAACAGGGTGTATTATGCAATCAACAATCAGACACACAACCGGTTCGATGGTTGTCTTAAACAGCTGATAGCTAGAACTTGAAGTGCAGCTTAGATTAATGTTAACGTTTGACCTGTTTAGTAGATACAAACACCTTGACAGACAAAATATCTTTTCAAGTTTCATAGGGGGAAACGACGTACAGATTCTCAAATAATTCAAATAAAATTGACTGACATATACGTTAACGGTCTGAAACGAATGCTGCCTAGACTTGTTGAAAATATAGTTTTCAGCAATCAAGATGAGAGCACACCTGATTTTTCTGTTTACCTCAATTTCCCTCAAGTTACCTCAGCAAACACAAATACTGCAATCAAAGATATACTGAATTATTAATCAGATAAAAGATGTAAATAACAACTTGTAAACACAATGGTATCAGTACGGGAAAGGGTGATAAAAATTAACTGAGATTTACCTGAATTTTCATATGATTTTTGATTGACTGCATTGCTAAACGTTTTAAGCTTGCCCATCTGGTTAAGACAATTCTGTCTTTAAGATATGTATAATAAGATCCATTCTTAACCCCATGCGGCCACCCAGGATATCATAACACCTTGTGATAAAATAAAAACGAATAAAACTAACTATGGTAGCACAGAGGAACCATTCGACCGTACGAATAACTGCAATTGTACATTGTACATATTACAACTAGTATATATTCCTGGGTGGGTAAGGATTATTTAGGAGAGAGAATGAATTATATGCCCTCAAACGTCTTCAAATCTTTAAAGTGATGATCTCGAAAAATAATATCCAAATCGAGAAAAAGTTAAGTGGAGCCAAAGTTCAAAGGGAGATAACTTTAACTGAACTGTATCATTATCAAAGATATTTAACCTCAGCTAAATGTGATTTAATGTTTCAAATATTTTGTGTCTTACGACAATCAATTGTAATATATTAGTACACCGCGGTTAAGATTCTAAGAGATAATAATTATAATATTACAAAGAAGATAGAACGTTAACGGTACAGATCTAAAATATAATAATCTGCAATGTAATGTTATCTTAAAAACAAGAGGCCAAATCTAGAAGTAGGATTTTATAGAATTTCCCCTATTGGGCCCCGCCCCACCCATCCCAAGGGGCCTAGACCTTACGTCTATACAAAATTGATTTTCCCTTCACTAAAGAGTGCTCAAGACCGAATTTGGATAATTTAAGTTCATTCCTACAACAGGAGGATTAGGATTTTGAAGAATTTCAACTATTTCCCCTATTGTCGGCCCCGCCCCTCCCACCCCAAGGGGCCTTGACCTTACGTCTGTACAAAATTGATTTTCTCTTCACCGAAGAGTGCGCAAGACCGAATTTGGGCAATGTTCATTCATTTCTACAGGAAGTAGGATTTTAAAGAATTTTGTATTTATTAGAAATTTGATATCACCATTGATAGGGAAATATAGTGCATCAACTTCCGTGATCGATAGTCTATTGTTACCACCAAAAACTTGACCTGTTTTCCCTACAATCTTATTGTCGTTTCGTCGCCTTCCATCTAAGTACATGTAAGATTATAATAGTGACAAAAAAGTACTGTGAAGTTGTTATCATCACGTACACCGTGAATATTTCTCAGTGAAGTAGGCTTTTTTCACACTAACCATTTGTCTAATGACGGTAACAGTGTATTTATCCATATGCACACACATTTTTATAACTGGTTGTGATATGAGAATTTCTATTCAATAGACGTTGTCAGACTGGAGAAAATAATGCGAGATACATATTGTAAATATCGTATTTCTGCTCATTTGTTTCTTTGGCAACAGAAAAAAATTATAAAAAACAATGACATCTTGCCAGTTGCGAAGGGCACACCTAGGGCACTTAAGGCTGATATGTATACATGTTTTGTAGTAACCAGTTGAATGATTTTGAAGATGAAGCCAAGAAAAGCCCTTAAAACAGACAGATGGTGCCCAAGACTTTGACGAAAGAGACGGTGAGATTAACATGAGGCAGCATCACAAACCTAGGAGACGATAAATCATAAATAGAAAAGGCATGTAATGATTGACTGCAATTGTTTGTGCTCTGTATAGAAGTAGATGTTTCTTAAAAGCTAACAAAATGTCTTTAGTATGCATTGCCAATCATTATCAGATGGTTCAAAGTACAATGTGCACGAAATATCACTACCTATTTGTTTACATTTCATTCGTATGTTCATCATAATATGACATGGAGTAAATACTGTTGATAGTAAACATGGAGTATGATGGATTTTATACGTTATACAATGACATATATGTTTATATGTAGCATCTGAAAAGGTGGTAATTTATGAATATGAGTTGGTAAATAAAATTTTCTCATTAATACCAGAGCTTAAATTAAGGACATAGCTTTTAACAAAGCAAAAAATACTTTAATACAAATTTTATTGGTAGAAAATATCATCATGCAATAAAATTTGCATTACATCAATGACTATACGTTTTTGTATCGGAGAAATCAGATTAATAATTTAGAATTTGTAATATCAAAACACGTAAAAATGTTGTCATATAATTGATTAATACCAACACATTACTTAAAAGATCTTTAAGATTTTTTGACCTCTCACATTTATTCTAATTTGAAAATTTCCCCATGTGGGCTCCATATCCCAAAATCCTTTGGAAACGCTCCAAATTTCAACTCGGAATAAGCTACTTCTCTATATACAGTTTATTTTATCTTGTTAGTGAAGATGGGATCTTTTCTTACACTTCAGTCTAAATATAAGAAAAGCTGTCTGGCTTTCTGTATGGCGTCTTATTGAGAAACGCCTGCTGGGCGGATCAGGAGCAAACAGGGACTGGTTGCCTCTCGCCTCTTTCATTGTTTGTTGTGTTGGAGGTGTATATAACATCCTTACTAGTTCTGCTCTATCACCTGTGTGAGTAGTGCAACATTGTACTTGCTTCTTGTTACCCTGTCAAGAACAGTGTTGACCAACTGCTGTTTGGAGATTTTGGATATAAGAGATCACATCCACCATCTAGATGGGTGTTTATGGTGCCATCTCTATTGGGAATCTCATTTGCAACATTATCCCTAGACTAATTAACATCACAGGAAAGCAGGTTCCTTACCTACATATCTTATGTTGATTTCAATAACAAGCTAGACTTTTGTCCTGTCATATTCTGCATGTGTATATTGTCCCAAAGATACTATAGACTATATCTCACACTCTTCCAATGGATCCAGCTATTTCTTAAGTTGTTTTAGAGATGTGGTGGCGGTGAAATAGCGCTGAATAGAAATTCCCCTTTTGTTTAATAGCTTTGTGTACATACCTGTTTACACTGAGCATTAACAATTGTGATTGGTATTTCGGCCTAATGGCCAGGATAGACCTTAGGAGAACCCTCTGTATTTGGCTCTCAAGACTGTGTCCCTCGTGTGTGTCCTGCCCTGACTGCTGTGTGGTCTAATATATTCCACGCTTGACGCAATGTAAAACGCCACAACATACATAATAGTCTAACATATCAATACATATGTTTGTTTTGTTACATTTACATTTCGTTTTAATTGAATGGTGATATTTACTGTTGACCAGACACGCCTCAAGGCATAAGTGCACTTACATGAATATTGCTAAAAATAAAAACTAAAACATAAAAAAGATATATTAAGTATAATAATAGTTTTCTTGTTCTTTCATTCCAATAGCTTATATCCGTTTAGCCTCCTCATTTATTACTTTATTCTGTGCTTGAGTCAGATTCCTGCGTCGGTTAGTACTTTTGTCTAGAAGTGGCTCCAAGAAAAAGGTGTCCTGATGAAACAGTCCCGACAATGTCTTGCATCTGCGATACACAAAGCCTGCATGCCATTGAATTCTCTTCCTTTCCGATATGGTCTTTCACTCCTTGGCCTTGTTTTCTACACTGGATTTCAGCAAGACGACTTTCCCCCATAGTCCTAGCTATGTCCCGGAAGTCTAACCTCTGTTGTATTCAGTGCCTGCTGGATTCCTATTATATCCATGTTGCTCATCATCAGTCTGGCTTTATCTACAGCCTTCACCGAGTCTCAGCAAGTTTTCGCATCTCAGGATGCTGTTTTAATAATTCAGAGAATTGTCAAACAACTTACCAAGTATCTTGCATGCTTCACTGGGACTGTTTTTGTCATTTCCGATCTCTTTGACTTTTAAGACATTTAAGACGATAATCTGGGACTTGGCTCATATACATATAACAATAATGAGAGAGGGGGCGGGGGAGAGAGAGAGAGGGGGGCGGGGGAGGGAGAGAGAGACTGGGCGAAGGAGTGAGCGAGAGAGAGAGGGGGAGGAGAGAGAGAGAGAGAGAGAGAGAGAGAGAGAGAGAGAGAGAGAGAGAGAGAGAGAGAGAGAGAGAGAGAGAGAGAGAGAGAGAGAGAGAGATTTTTAAGTAGATTTTCGGAAGTTCAATTCGGTCGTTCCGAAAGAGCTCCACTTCATAACATATATCAATGATGAATTGTTGACAAATTCTTTTTGATATATTGATATACACCAATAATAACATTGCTTTGAATAGTAACGACATAATATATATTATAATTCGCCGTTTAAGTTAAAACAATTCTCTTCACAGACATCACCCGAAGGTTAACACATATCAAATAGATGTGTGTA